AGATGTGTATAAGAGAAAAATACCGGGGGAAAGTGTCCGGGAGCAAATGTCTGGGGGGTGGGGGGAACCAGCCTGCCTCCCAAATTCTGGCCGGCGGAGGCCCGACTGATGGACATGCCACTTGAGTCCAATGCTAGGCCTTGTTTGGCAGATGGATTTTAGAAGTAATGTGCAGATTTTAGCCTATACAAGAGGTAGATTTGAACCCCATATATTCAATTAACTTTTCACTTAATATGCACACCTTTTCCACTCGGCTACATTTCACCTGATATGTACAGCTGGTAATATTACACCCCTATAAAACAACAACCAATGGATCGAGCGCATTGACAATAAAAGGACGTGAGTTTGTAATCTTAGATTATCGTGTTAGTAATTGTGATGCTTATGGGTTAATAAAGCAGTCAGAAAATTAGTCTATCTTTCACTGGGGCCCGTAATCACCTAGCTACACCGCTGTTAAAATTATGCGCAGTCTTCATATTTTTGTATTTCTATTTTTCGCCCATTTGTGGGCGACTCTGCATATTAGAGGCCTTAAATTGGGAAGCGACCCATAGTTTTGAACACCAGGCCAGGGCGCTATAATAGGTACTTCGAGAATTCGCTAAGCTTCCCACTAGCCGAAGATAATCTCCGCAAAGTTAAAAGCAATAGTTAACAAAATCTGAGTGATTCATTTTTTGGGGACGTGTCATCAGTCTAAAAGTCGATTGTCAGCTTTGGATTGTCGCTTTACCAATATAATTGATCCCAATAAAAAGAGCCTAGATTTAGAGTCTTTTTTTGAAAAATACAAGTAACATGAACATTCATTTCACTTGTAACGTTTGGTATTATTTGTACATTGTACGCGATGTCCTTTGTATTTTTATGAGCGCTGATCTTGGTACACCAAATTTTTATTAACTAAGTAAAATTAATTCCAAACACTACAGACGAAACATAGAACAGAGACACCAGAGAGACAAAACTTGGCGGCACATAAAGTCGGTGTGTATAGGCCTATAGGCTTGTTTATGGCATATTATAGCTTGCTCATTTTCAGTACTGTGCAAGCGGTGATACTGATTTTAGGTCCAACCAGCAAGAGGCGTGACATACATCAGCAACTTGCCACCCATTTCAGGGTTCCCGCAGCCGAGACAGGGGGAGTGTGCACTCACACATTGTATGACGCACACCAGAGCACAATCAGGTCTGCCCTTAGAATGGGAGCTACCTAAGTAACCTAACTGACGCACGTCACGGTGCATCGCTGGTGGAAGATAGAACCGATATTCAAGTAAAATAAATGTTTATTTATTTATTTTTTAACGCAGTCAACAATATTATATTATTATCATCATCATTACTATTATCATTACTATCACATTAACTATTAATTCTATTATTATCATGTGCGTCGATTGGTATGGACAGAGGGACGCGTCCCCCCCCCCTTTCAAAGGGGGGGGGGGGGGGAAACATCATATCGATTGTCCCCCCCCCCCCAACTTTTCACTATTCTTCTATAATTAAAACCCCACTTTTACAAGCGAATGGAAAGAATGACAATTACGCATGACTCATGAATTTTGTCTGTTCGCTTTTCTAAGTGTGGTACGTAAGGTATTTTCCGGACCAAATCCAAGTAAAAACGCAATTGTTTAAACATTTTGTAACCATCTCAGAAACCCACTAGATCGATTTTATGGGTGCAACGACTATCATTTCAGTGGCAGATTCAAGGGGCCCAGCCGGCCCACCATCACTATTTTTTTTTTTTTCGAAATTTAAAAGTGGAGAAAAATTAAAATTATATTCAAATTCAGTCTTTCTGAGAGTGCCATTTCCGACCAACTGGAGGTGCCATAATCATAAATTTTCTTACCTCAGCCCCAACCATGGTGGGGCTGAGGTGGTAGTTCAGCTACACTCTCCATCTGTAAAAGTCTCTCTGGGCCCAGCTCTATTTCAAATTACTGGATCCGCCACTGGATATTTTGAAATTTCGTATGGAAATAAATGTTAATTGCATTGCTTAAAATCAATTAAAAGGCTATATGCGCCAGAGCTTCCGGGGCTTCTCCCCCTGGTCCCCGAACCATTGCATTGGCCTACGGCCCAAGTCTTTATTTTTCATCTCGTCCCCCCGCCCCACTTTCAGCCACGGATCGACGCCCTTGATTATTATTATTATTATTATTATTATTATTATTATTATTATTATTATTATTATTATTATTATTATTATTATTATTATTATTATTATTATTATTATCGGAGAAATCCGAAATGAATAAATTAACAGCAGTAAACATAAAAGAGATTCTTAATCGGTTTTGGGGTTTTTGCCTAAGTCTAACTCTTTCAGATCTGTTTTTAATGACTATAAAAGGGTGTGTTGAATCTTGCAATATATATTTAAATTTAGTCAGAGAATTATAAGAACATAAGTCATCGAGTGCTCCTACCTCAAGTCCGGTGATACGCGAATCGCCTGCCTATATAACTAAGTTTATCTTTTAGGGCTTTTTCTAGATGAGAGTACCAAATAATAAAACAATAACACAAAACTGATTGAATAACTGACAAATAAAATATAAGAATGAAAATGGGGATAACATTGAACTTCCTCAAACGATACACGAAGTACATCCTTTTGTTACATTTAGTAAATACATCTGCTGTACTGTGATCCCATTTAAGTTTATTATCAATAATAAACCCCAGGTATTTATGTTACGCCTGCAGTACATTGGCCATTGACAATATTGTAATGTAAGACGCCAAATTGATTGATTTATTGATTTTATTCAAATTTAAAATATAAATTTGAAATGAATTTTATTAAATTATTTATATAAATTATTTATTTAAATTACTATTTATGTTTTTTCAATGATTAGTGTATGGAAGATTTAAGAACAATGCTCAAAATTTTAGTAACAAAAATAGGACGAATGCAAGTTTTAAGAATGAAAGGAATCACCGTTGAAATTTTAGAATTTGTAATAAAATAAAGCTTTTATAAACAATTGGATATCATCTTATCTCTTTTTCTCATTTACTAACATCGTGGATTGCACTTAGGCCTACTGGGCCCAAAAGTAATCAGAAACAGCAAAATTTAGCGTAAAATACACAGCAAAATACACATCGACAGGACACAAAGGTCATTAGACCTACAGTATTTATTTACTATTTTTTTGCCTATTACCAACCTTTACATGGCATCTGCTTAACAAAAAATAAAATATGTAACTTACCTTGACCACCTGAAACCGTGAATGTACACAATAATATATACACCAAATACATCGTTGAGGTGTACAATCATTCGACCTATCTTAACATCGATCGATTGAGACTAAGACACTGCCATGATTATAAGATTCGAAATTCTAACTTGCGTTTCACTTCGCATGTAACCAAGTTTTCAAATTTTCTGAAATTATGCTAAATGAACTTAATATTTATAACAGTCGTGTAATGGTTAGACAAACACTGTCTACATGTTTATACTTATGACGTTATATCAGACAACCTTTGTTAATGATTCCATTGTTGCTTTCTATTCTTTAGCTGAAATTATTCATGTATAAATTATTATTTGTGGATCGTGACAAATTAAATGGGAAATTTGTTCTCATGCATGCATAGTTTTCTTTAACCAGTCGTTGAAATTAAGCTTGCACATAGATCCATGATAAATATTTCGGTTTGCTACAGGAGGCCTCTGTCATGTCATTTTTTGTATACTGGGCTTGCGCAGATATTTTTCTGTAAAAATGAATGTGTTAAGGTTCAGTTCATTTGACAGGCATGCCAAGAATCAAGTAGAATTTACTTTTTATCAGGGAGTTGGTAATTGGTCCTACGCTTTGACAGATGACCAATGGCTGATAGCACCATGTCCGATAATGGATTATAGACTAGCAGATTTAGAGCCTTTGAGTCAAACATTTTCAAAAATTAGTTTTTTTACTGATTCAGGTTTATAAGTTTGTGCTGAATAACATATCCAAAATAGGACGCGAATTTCAACCCAGAACTCACCTAATTTGCATAAATATGCAAATTAGCTTCTGCCATTAAAGGAAAATCGATTATTCGCAATTATTTGCATCTAAAATGCAATCATGACAAGTAAAGTGTTTATACCCATGTTTTTAATGTTAAAGAATATTATTAGCCTATTTCTGAATTAAGTATATGCATATAATTATGTTAAATATGCAAATTAGCGGCTGCCATTACAAGAAAATTGATTTGCACAGTTATGTTGTACCTTAAGCATTCATTCATGACAAATAAAGTATTCAAAGCCATATTTTCAGTGTTAGGGATTATGGTTATTACATCCGTGAATAAATTATACGCATAAGAGGCCTATATCTGTGTTAAATATGCAAATTAGCTTCCACCATTAAAGAAAAATCGATTATTTGCAATAACTCTGCATCATACGCATTCAATCAACTTATTCATACCTATGTTTTCAGAGTTGTAGAATAATTAGCACATTTATGAAATTGTACAGATACAATTATTTTTAATGCAAGTTACGGTACCGTTGTCTTCACACAAAAAATATAGCACAATATAAATCTGCATCTAATAATATAAAGTGTCTGAGTTTCAATGCTTGAAGGAATATTAGCAACATTTTGTGGATTAATTGTAAATTAAACTCACATAAGTTTGAGGAAAGATTGTCATATAGTTTCCTGACATATCAATATGTAATCTATAACATGTGGATACCTCTAGCCAACTCCATAAATCTTTAGTACACAAACTCGTATAATGGATTTGATCTTGACACTTTTCAGTGGCAAAATATTTTCTTTGCACAATCAACACCGAACATTCTATCATCAACTTTCAGGTATTAATTCTATGTTTCCCATCCATACGTGAGTCTTTAAATAAACTCTGTATTAATTTTACTTGGCAGCACCTTCTGTAGAACACTCTTGAGGCTCTTCACCACCTTGTCGCCAAACTTTCGGTCATTAGATACCGATTTCTTTGAATGACAAAAAGGAGTTAACCAAGCTCACCGATCCTTTTTTCTATATACAATGAGCTGGCAAATATGCTCCGTTCACTTCTTTTTTTTCAATAATGATGTCTTGCAGGAAATAATTATCGAGAGCAATGTGGGCTATATACTTTATAAAAACACAAATGGGTTGTTTATTTTTCGCAGACGATGGATTTCACTCTGGTGACAATAATAATGCCCCAAGATGGAACTTGAGTGAACCATTTGTACCTTAAACATGAGTCCAAGTCCCATACAAACACCATGTTGATTACCGTATGAATGTCGAGTCTTGTGGTTTTGTAAGAAATGGCAATCCCTGAGATTGACATCTTAAAACATGATTGCATATCCCTTTGGTGTTGCTAGAATAATTTTTTTTTCAGAGTACTACAAACACCAGGAAGGGAATTCGGAATTATATTTTATTAAATAAACAATTACAAATCATATTTGACATAAATATTAAATTATAACTTATTAATAGTCAGTAGTAGTGATTGTTGCATTAGTTACTTAACTTTGAACATTAAAAATTTCTTGTGAGTAAAGCAATAGACACACTGTGTGCTCTACTGATGACCTTATCGTGCGACTAATGCAACTCAAATCGAAAACTCGAGACTCAACAAAAACAAGAGTTAATTTCAGTACTTTTTTTTTTTTTTTTTTTTTTGGTGCAAGAATGATATGAAGATGTTCGAATGACGTCCTATGAAGCAATATTTAAAAAATTGTAACCGAATACTATTTCAATCTACGTTTATGTTCATTTTTGTAGTCACGTGTAGGCCTACATAATACACTGCTTTCAAGCTTTAACAACATAATACGATAAGACTGTCTCATTGTAAGCGGGGCACTTTAACATAAAGTGGAATTTATCCTCCATTATGCCCATATTAAATACTTAATACTTAACAATTGTCTTCTACTGTATTTGCAGCTATGAAATCGTAAATAACATTGAGCGTATAAAGCCGTACCGTATTGATTCTATGGTAAAATATTAGTATGATATCTCCCCTTCATAGCAAGTAGATGCAAGTTTCGAATCCAATAGAGAGACCTTTCGTTGAAGAGATATGCTTGATACAACTATAGAATCTTATGTTACTATTTGAGCGCTGTTATATTTATCTGTATGTTTATTCTGGTTTAGTTTTTCCAATTTTTCTGTTATCTCAGCACATGAGACCTCGGTATTATGCGCTTTATAAATCTCACTACAAACTTTTTGAAAATACCACTTAAAACAATTAAATTATAACTTACCTTGACTACTTGAAAATGTGAATGAATACAATAATATCAATATTAAAGACATCATTGCGGTGTAAACGTTCTCGATTCGATTTACATTATAACAACACAAGCTTTAGAATTACAAGCATCAGAATTATCTTGCGTTCCATCTTGCATGAAGCCTAGTTTATTACATTTATACTGTTCGTAGGACTACAACGCATATATTTAATCAATACCTCACACAATGATCCTATTTAAAAGCAATTGTGAGAGAAGCAGTTGTTGCTTATTACCTTTTATCTTAAATAAACCATGTATATAAATAGGCCTATTATGGTGTCTGGCAAACATTACATTTCCAAATGAATGAATATAAACCATATTGAATGCATTGGTATCGAAACAAATGATTATAATTTAATTCCAGCCAATCAACCAATGTGGAAATGGGGATCAATAAAGTGAAAGCATGCACTAAAAAAGTTAACAACACATAAATTAATTTAATCTAAACATAACCTAAAAGCAACAAAACTCGGTATCCCTGGAGTCTAGGTAAATTGTTTAATAATATTTTAATTATATTCTGCTGCTGTTCCGTTGGAAACTAAAGACAAGATTTCTTATTTAAAATTGCCTTTACTTATTTTTGGCCAATGCTGCTTTATGTTAAAGTGCTCCGCTTACAGTGATATATATATATATATATATATATATATATATATATAAATCATCAAAGAAAGGTAAATACAGTGTTCAAATAAAGGACTTTATATATATATTACATATTATATTTATTATCATAATATGTTATACGTGACGATAAAAGGGACTTGAACTTGGTTTGAAATACTATTCAGTTGTTACGTTTAAAAAAAATATTTCCTCATAGCAGGACGTCATGTGAATCAAATTTATCGGTTAGGTGCTTGCGTATAATACAATTTTTTGGTGCCAAAACGCAACAAATCACGGTTGGTATATCTGTATTATGTACTTAATTTCAAAATGCTGTATGAAGATTTGCATGACTGAGTAACAATAAACAGCCTAAATGCTTGCAGTATACTGTACCAAAAAGATATGCGATGTTTCAATTGAGTTGTTTCAGTAGCACTATAAAGCGCTGATTCCAGCCGTTGATTCATCAGGACCAAGTAGCGCACACAGCAGTTTGTATTTTTCGTTGACGTACCAAGATTCAAATTCTGCATTTTGTTAAATTATTCTTTATTCACTTATAACATATAATGTAGAGGCATTATAGGCCTAATGATGGATGCACTATATCCGGAATAGTGTTCATTTTTAGTTTGATTAACCTCGTATTGTTATATTTATATATATTCATTTCATTTATTTCGCAATAAAGTACATACAAATAACATCAAAAGAATAAATATAAAAACAGTGAAGCCCATGGAGCAAAAGACAGTACCTACCCTCTAAGAATGTACCACCAGTTCGCATTTATTGCTGATCCATGAAATGCACTATCCATAATGCTCATAATTAAACTATTTGTAGAGTTGTGTAGTCTTTTGGAGAGGAACCCATAGCAGTGGCGTAACGGCTATGAGCTCTCACTGGCTAAAGCCAGGAATCCGAGAGCCTCAAGGACCTCCCCCACCCCATTTTTTTTCAAACAAATAACCAAGGCCATTTTCCAAGCCTGAATCTGCCGAGTGATTGGGTCATTTTTATTATCATCACTATCGCTAGTCTACGTTTTGTTGAAGAAGTTGTCCGAGTACGCCGTATGGTAGTTATCAAAAGTATGCTCGGTAGCAACTTCAAAGTCACCTGTAACTTACTTTGCTCTGTTTGCTGCATCTATGAGAGCAGCGGTTTCTTCCAACCTAATCGGCACTCAAAATACAGTGAAAAACTATAGTATTATTACAGTGATATCTTAGTTAAAATTAGGCATGCTCTTTGGGAGTCAAATCACGATACAGAACTTAGAATTCGAATGTGTAAAAAGGCATTAAAATACATCATAGAACGCTAAAAAAAACCGCCGGAGCGGCCAGAGCATCACCCCAGACCCCCACAAGGGCCCTTCGCGGCCTCCGGCTCCCAGCGTCCAGGGCCCCAATGGGCACCTGCCCAGGGGTCTCGATCCACAGGGGATCCACAGGGGATCCTCCTTTGGGAGGTAAAAAAAGAAAAAAGAAAGAAAAAAATGATAGCCCACAACGCCTCAAATGTTATTTCCGGCGTCTACAACACAAAAATTTCGGACCGGACCCCCTAGGACATTGTTGTCTCGATCGGCCCAAATTTCGGCCTCCCCCCCCCCTTTTGGACATCTCTGGATCCGCCCCTGATCCACTTCGTCATGCCACTGACCCATAGATATATTTTCTCATGTTCTCCATAAAGGATGATAAACCATTACTAACAAACATAGCTGACGCACTATTATGGCGTGGTGATTAAAATATCAGTCGTAATGCATTATTGTAACAAAATTGCAATTTCCTTAGAGTGCCTTTACTATAAGTCGACCATAATGACTCAATACATATTTATGTAATAGTACGGTATCTAAACAACATGCATTTCACCTTATCAGAACTTCACTCTTTATAGCAAGTGAATTTGCTCGAATACTCAAGGAGTGATATTGTCGCATATCAGTATCATCTGTCAGATCACTACTAAG